TCAAAACTAACAAAAAGTAGTAGTATTCCTGTTATATGATGGTAGATAAATCATATGATCAGGAATAAAATTTTTCTCTCAAGAAAGCGTTAAACCGTAACAATCATAACAGTGCCAGCTACATTTGCAATGTTTTCCTTACTGCAAGGTATAATATAATATGTACTTTATTTTTATATTATCTTTTATTAATATTTAATAAGAAGCAACTTTTTATGTTGGCAATTCTGAATTATTTTCAATTTTGACATGTGCACGCTTAACAAACATGCTGATTGGTTGAGGCGATGGCAGCTGTCATAAATGTCACTTTGACAATCAAGTATGCTATCATAAAATTTTAAATAGGTTGCCAACTTGACAAAACAATCGCAAGAATTAATAGTCACTCGGTATTTTTCTTTATTATGGCCATGTTTAATTATGTGTAATTAATTTTTGTTTAGTAATTTGTTTGATATAAACAAAATGCACTGAATTAATAAAACAGAGTACCATACGCGTTTTCACACTGCCACTAAACCACAAACAAATAAATATTTACCTCAAACAACATATTCCACAAACTTCACCATAGCATGTTCATTAAAACCTTAGCCGCATTTTGACACATTTAACATGTTTTAACATTAGTAACCACATACTTGTAGATCACAATATTATACATTTTTATTTATTTATTTTTTCATGCCGAATCAACTGCAAAATAGGTTTATCAAGTTTTTTCTCACTGGTGGCATTTGCAAACGAATTGTTTGTCATCGTTAATTCAAAGTAATAAATAAATAAAATAAAATATAGAAAATTCATACAAATTTTATTTTGATTTGTATGAAAAATATACTATGTACAATATATTAATTGCGAATGTATAAAACTAGAGTACAGTTAAAAGTATTTTCAAAAATCAATCACGGAAATTTAACACAACTAATTTTTAAAAATCATTGCTTATTTTTCTGTCACTGTTAGTCAGAACGTTAAAATAGTTCAATGTCTTTTATGTCAGACAATGAACCGAAGTCTCTAGCAAAGTTTTTTTATTATTTACTGAAGCTTCATCGAAGAATCTAATTGAATTTAGGTCTCCATCAGTAAGGGTGCTATTGTCAGCCTGTAACTAAGAGATTGTCAAGTTAGCTTTCCGGTCCTTTAAAATCAAATTTAAATCACTTAATAAAAGTCTGATATCTTCATGTTTTCATGTACATTATTCTTCTAAACACAAAAATATCACGAATTTGAATTTTTTAAACAGGTGATATCGCAATCCTCATAAATAATCATGCAAACGAAGTTGTTTTACGTCAACTGATTCGTTATTAAAAATGATGTTTAATTATTCACTACGTCTAACAGTTTTTGTCGCCCCATTTTACTTAATTTTAAAGTCCCATTTTTTCTAACTATAATGCATAAATCGATTATGTTAAGCTTGGGTTGATTATCTTTTTAGAAAACATATCAAAATGGTTTGCTTTTAATGGTCTTTTATTAAATGATAAAACTAAATGTATTTATTTTCACACAGCTCAAAAAAAAGTTGCCAAGACAGCTCTTAACATAGGTACCCAGCACTTAGAACCTGTAAATAACGCAAAAATTTTAGGAATATGTATTGAAGAAGTTTTGAATTGGAATATGCATTGTACACAAGTTATCAAAAAAATTAATATAGCATGTTATCAAATACGAACGTTAAAATACATTGTCGACTTACACGTCTTACTAAATTTTTATTATGCGCATGTACATTCGCGCCTTAGTTATAGCATTTCACTATGGGGTTCTTCGCCTGCGGCTAATGAAGTTTTCAAAGCCCAAAAACGTATTATTCGTAATATAGTGTCTATTGGTTCTGCGTGTTCTTGTAAACCGCATTTTAAAAAATTAAAAATACTAACATTACCCTCAGTTTATATTCTAACTCTTTTGGTTTACACATTCCAAAACCGTAATAAATTTATCTTAAATAAAAACATCCATGAACACAATACTAGAAATACTCGAATTTATTTAGCTAAACCTAATTTGGAATTATATAGACGCTCTCCCAACTATCTTGGGCCTAAACTTTTTAATGCTTTGCCGGATGATGTTAAATCTATCAATAATGTTAAGAAGTTTTGTAGGACTGTAAAAACTTTATTACTCGAAAAAGCATGTTACAGCGTAGATGATTTTCTGTTGTAAATGTTATTGTAATTGCCATAATCATGTTAATATACATGTATGAATGTAGTTAGTTTATATACTTGTTTATTGTTTGTTAATTCTGACGTGTCATATACAAAAATGTATTTTTTGTCTTTTGGCTAAAATAAACTTATACTTATACTTATTAAAACAAGTAACAGAAACAACTTTTGTATGCAGCATGAAAACACGCAAGATTGTCTTTACCTAACAAAGAATTTTTTTGTAATTCTTGGAAAATGTACAAGCTTCCAAAAATTAATTTATTTTTAACCAACATTTTTCACAATCTATTATTAGCTTAGTATCACCTTGAAAAGCAGCAGTGCTACAGTGTTTTTCAAATTTGGCACTTGTAAATGCGAAATAAAAGTATTGAATGATCAAGAGCTTCAGCAGAGAAATGTAAAAAGTGTAAGTTAAAATTTTTTCGTCAAACAAAGAATTTCTTAAAATGTCAGTCCTTAAACAAGAATTTTCTAGTTCTAATTTTAGTTACCTTTGGGGGCACAGAAGTATAAGGGTTTTGGATTCATACTCACATTTCCATTTTTTCATTTTTACGGTTACGGTTGAATAAATCTTGCTACTAAAACATGAATATTATTCGTTTTTCAAGAAGCAAACGTACGTACAAATGATAATACAAATTTATATTAAGAAGTTCTAAATACGGTTATATTTACAAATTGTCATGCCATTATATTTTCCCGTTATAGCTTAGTTAATTAGGTAACTTTATATTTTCTGAACCACCGACTGCTACTATATTTATTATGAATTAACTATTAAAGATTTTTCATTCATGTTAATAACGAAAAAGATTGATTTTCCAGCTCCATAAATAGAACATGGAAATTTATAATCTCCTTTAATATAGCGAAACTATATTTAGATAGGCTATTGCGCAGTATTTTATAAAATTGGGAATAAAAATAAATATTATTACGCAATGTCAGTATATATAGTATACCAAAGAACGCTAAATAAAAAATCAAAATTTAGATCAAACCGTCAATAAATTGAAAATTACCACTATCAAGAAATCAGCGTATAAAATACATAAATGTTACATTTTTGCAGTCAACATTACAGAATTACTCTAGTTCAAAAATTATACTCCAAAACTTACAAAAACAACAAGCAGCTGTGTTACGTCCCATTACTTTCCAACCTGTTACTGGGAGCCGTTTTCCAGAACACCCAATTTTACGAAATAGGTATATTTTACGGTTTAGACGTACAGTGTATTTCAAACGTGAATAAATCAAATTAAAACGCTCCAAGCTCCAAGTAACATAATGAAACTAAAACAAGTGTACGCACTGCGACATGATAATTTAATGTGGTTCGCGTGGTTTACTTAAAATTATTTATACAAAATTTGTCATGCTAAATTTTCTTAGCGCACACTTTTTGCTTCCCGGCAGCTATTAATATTTACATCACACTTCAAGGGTTAAATTTACAAGCTCATCTGACCTTATTTTATCATCAAATACATAGACAGAGGTCACCGCAACCGAGTAAATTTTCATCAAGCGAATTCATGCCATGCTATATCCGCTGAAAGAAAGACGCTTCAAATAACTCTTCACGTCAAATTTCTTTATAACGTGCTTTCAGCATGTACAAAAAGATCGCAGATAACTAATTTATAAAAAAATGCTTCTAAAATTGGGGGATTATTGTTCGTTTTCACTGAAAATTATTACTGGCAGCAAATTCTACTGAGGCATATACATTTTAACTTTGATGTTCAAAAAAATCGTGGACCTCAATTTTTTAGAAATAATGCTCATAACTGACATCATTTCAGTAATTTATTTCATGAATGTTTGATAAAAAAATGCCCTATGGTGCAATGTTGTTTACGCTTTGATAATATGTTCTTATTTTTCAGGATTACTTAGAGAGCATATTTCAAAAAAACATAATAATCATAATAATGAAGTAATATATTTTACTGATGGAGCGCGTTGGTGTCACAGTACATTTATGTATCAAAACTATTTATTTGTCTAAAAGTATTAAACAGATTTCCCTCTAGTGAAATCCAGGCGAACAAATACAGATTCTTCAAAAAATTATAAAAATCGACAAATTTTAGCAAACACTGATTTAGCGATTCGAAAGCATTTCCTTCGGACAGGCATTAAAAAATCATCAGAAAGTACCTTACGTTGCATTTCTTGTCCTCCAACAGTATTTTTTATTTTGAACAATAGACTCCACAAGATGTCAATAAAACAATTCATCGGAATATTGATGTGAAATATATTTTCTCTATTAAGTATTTGCAAGAAGTCTTATATTAGTTTCTCAAAATGTCGGAGACACACTAATGTTTTGAATGAGTGATAAATAAAAATTAATATCGAAAAATACGCCTCGAAGCATCTGGCACTGGTTGTGTTTTGGAAGTGAAGAGGAATCTGTTGAATTAACTTTACAGCTTTTTTGTATACTACAGTGATTCGAATCTAAGTTTGTATTATTTCCTTACTATTATTATTTTATTTTAAATAACTTTGCTAATACTAAAAAAATTATCCAAGAACTATTCTTACTTTTACACCCCGTTTTTTACTAGTTGATAACTCTTTACATACGAGCTTCCGTTACATATTTATGTTTACAAGTTCAGAATTGAAAAACCGTCATAATCAAACTTCGGGTGCGGTGATGTAAAAAATCCCTCTGGTCAAATGGACCTATCTACTGAATAGTCGTAAACACGAACCGACCGAGGCTTACTACATGTTAGTAAGAGATAGAAGTTTGCGCATGATATGTTGGGTACACAACCAAGATCTTTACCGCAGTTTTTAAAACAGCGAATCAACATCGTGTAATTTAAAACAACCGCCGTTCTGACCACGTGCGGCGTAAACCTGCCATCGGTGGCGCTTGAAATCCTCAAGAGGCAACTGAGTCATGTCGGTTTGTCATTCATTGTGTTTTTTCAAATTGTTGGTGTGATTTGCGTTTATTTGAGTGTTTTTTTGTAAAATCTCGATCTTCAAGACAACAGCAGCTTGCTGTAGTGTGTAAAAGGTATGACATTTGAATAAAGGTTATGTCGATGTTTTTATTAAATACATTTTAATAAACTTTTAGTGGACGGTTATTCAGTAACGATCTCTTTGGGAAGACGTAACGGGCATTTTTTTAAATATGTGGACCACGGACCTGCTTGCGTTCAGCACCTTTAACTTTGACTGCTGCAAAACATTCTTCGAGAAGCAAGGATGGACGTCAAAGCAGATGTCAAAAGGCTATAAATTCTTTGCTGAAGGTTATGTTCACAACCTGAAAGTTTCTGGCTTGCATTTGTGTGCACAGTGTTATCGAAGTCAAAAAAAAAATGAAAAACCCCATACAATGAATATGGTTTTTGAAAAGACTGAGGAAGATTTAATTTTAACTGATTCACACTGTACATGTGAGGCCGGGTTGGTTGTCTAAAATATTGTTTTTGCTGTAATGATTTATAAATTATGTTACAGAAAGAGCAGGTCATGCAATCATTTAGTTTGACTTGGATATCATCTCCAAGATTTGATTTGTAGAGGGATCACTCAAATGGAAAATGTTACATGCACCTCACAACCCATGATATGGAACAAACCTAGAGGGAAAAAAATTTTGCCGGAAAAAGTCATTGACATACCATTTTACAATCCGTTGAACTGTAGGAGGAAGAAGTCACCGATTCACTGTAAGCGATTCAATCCACTTAGACATGATGATGCATTTCTAAACAAGAGGGAAATACTGAATCTTACTGAGGCTGTCAAGTCATCCGTCTTGAAGATTGGGTTTAGTTATTTAATAGGCAACCCTTCCACAGAAACTGTTACATTATTTGATAGTAAGATTTATGTTAGTAATAAAACTAAGGTACTAATCACATTGTTATAGATGTATCAGTCCCTTCTAATTCAGTATTGGGAAACCAGTACAACCCAGAAAGGCAAAGGAACAATCTAGACATTTGGAGGATACAAGATGAGATGCCTATAAAGCTACCACTTGATAATGCTGAAGCAAAAAATGTTTTATTGAGTGAACCACCCATAGATGTCATTGAAGAAATTTCTTTTGACAAATCTTATGAAATAGAACGATTAACAAGACAACAAGCTTCTTCAGCACCATGGTATAATGAGCGAAAATTTCGTTTAACAAGTTCAAAATTTGGGGAAATTTGCAAAAGAAGAAGCTTCAATGCAGAATATGTAAAGAGCATTTTTGGGAATAATGATTTGTCGAATGTAAAGGCAATCAGGCATGGGGTGGAAAATGAAGATGTGGCAAAAAAAATGTATTTGGAGGAAACACGAAGGACAATGTATAAGTGTGGCTTTGTAGTGCATCCATTTGCTAGTCATCTAGGTGCAAGTCCTGACGGCGTTGTATTTGATGAAGTTCATGGATATGGACTTTGTGAAATTAAGTGCCCTTACAGCAAAAAGTGGGAGACGATTAAGGAGGCGGCAAAAATGAAAAATTTCTGCTTAGCGTTAGAAAATGGCCAGACATACCTAAAAAGGACCCATAATTATTACTATCAGATACAAGGGCAAATGTTAATTACAGGACTCACTTGGTGTGATTTTGTTATTTTTTTAAAAAATACAAGAGAATTAATTATATATTGAAAGAATTTATTTTGATTCTCAGTTTTGTTTGAATATGTACAACAAATTAACAAATTATTATAATAGTCATTTTAAAATGTATGTTAGATGAAAATAAAGTTATATTTAAAATTTAAGAATAATTTAGTTACATAAAATACATATGTCTACTTCCGAAGGGGGAGTCTAAGATTGGTAAGTATGCAACATACAACGTATATTTGTTCAATACACCCTACCAATGAAATGGGAATTTTATTTTTTAAAATTCTGAAACTCTAATCGGCCGATGGCCCGTTCAACATGCACACGTTCGTGAGCGATTTTACGAATGTATTCCACATCTTGTGCTGAAAACTGCAATTGTTGAATCGTAACTTCTTGAATGGATTGCGACCAGTCTCGTTCAGCAGCGCGATCTGATGGTGGGTTAAGTCAAGGTAACATTTATTGATCAAAGAGTAAACTACAGCTCCATCTGGAATTTACAGGATGCACCTCCCACACATATCCGGTGTAGAAAACATAAAGGAGTGTGCTATTTCATCCTTTCAGCACTAGAGGAGAATGTGTGTACTCCAAACGCTTTTTAAAATGTTTTAAATAAATTTTCTGAAATATGCGTAAAAATCCACCAAGTTACTTGCGTCTAAAAACCTAAAAATAATTTGCACCGTATTTTAGAGACACAAATCAATTTGCAAAAATTACATTCATTTTTATGCGATAAACATGTGCATGCTCTTCTGTTTGAGTAACCTTTAAACCAACTTTTTTCGGGTGGATAGTGACATGTTGTTTCAATTTTAAGAATACGTTGTAATATTTTATTTTTGTAGTATTTAATTAATCGTTTTTCCGTAAAGATTCTGCTGAAATTCGAAACTATTCAAACTAGCTTTTCTTGTGTTTAATATAGTCTAAAAAGTAGAAATAAACTGAAGCGGATACTTTCTAATACCATTGCAGAACAGTAAAACGTACTGCAGATTTTTTTATCGCTGTTGTAAAATATGCCCGGTCGTAAAAAACAATAAAAATAGCCTTTTATGAGTTTTATGCAACTTTCAAATTATAATGAAGTTGTAATGACAGGAATAAAATCATAGCTTTTAGTTATTGTGGAAGTTTTGCAGCTAATTTTTTCATTAAACTAAGACACTTTTTGAAACCTGACGATATAAGTAAGTTATTCGATTGATTATTTATGGCACTCTTAAGAAAGTCACGACCTAAACCATAAATGTTACTACCTACATCTTAAATGAGGATTTTCATATTTAAGCTGACTCCAAAAACTGAATGGTATTTCAGATATTATTTTAAGCTTTATTTTATAGACACTGTATTTGTCGCTAGCTAACTCTTAGTCATCCTTGGTCTCCTTGACCATGATCAGTTCGAATGATGAAAGAAATACTAAAACTACAATCAGTCTAGTTCCGCGGGTCACATAGTTGAAGAAAACAAGTTTAAGCGCTTTATTTTGTTTTAGATAAATAGTTGTTTTTATTATAAACATTTCATTTCCAATTTGAGAAAGACTTGCATACGATTTAAAATCTTATTATTTTTATAAAAACATATCCACGTAAATTGGTTTCTAGAAAACAAAAAAAAATTTCTGAATTATGTATTAAATTCATGTCCCCTGTCTACAAAAAAGAATTAACGCCTACGCTCCAGTAATCAGCTGAAAACCATTCGAAATGTTTGCAAAATCATTTCTAATTTATAGAAACTATGTGACTGAAGTCGCTTAAAAGCCATAACTGGTTTTTGAAGCTTTTATACCTGCATTAAATTAATTTTAACTGCTATAATCTTCAAATAAGTAGCAGATTCTACACTCACTTGTGTTAACAGGTGTTAAAAAAGATGTGATACCAGAAAAACGTTTTTCGGGGGTGGACCATGTCAATTTCAAAAGGGGTTTGTTAAGAAAATAGTCGAAACTCTTTTCAAAATTGACGCGGTTCAAACCCGGAAAACCTCTTTAACACTGGCCGTGAAAGCCTTCGATTCCATTTCAGGTTTTAAATGTGAAATCCTTGATACTACTATATGATAAATTTAATGACACTGCAGTGATCTCCATTAAATAAAATGCAGATGTCCCTCGAATTTATACACTTTAATCTTTATAGTAAATAAAGTCAAAAAATAGATTGTACATGACATTAATAAAAAGCGCGAGCCAAATATTTGTTGATAGGAACTTTAAGAAAAGTGGCTTTAACGTAAGCATTTTATAAATTGTTTAATTAATGGTTCGTTAAATTTTTGCTAGGTACGTTGTTCCTGGACAAATTAATCTTGATTAAAATTTAATTGCATTTGATGTAGATGGTCCTTCTCGCTTAGGTTAACTGTCAATTGCAAGCCGTGCAGTTAAGAGCCAGCTCATACTAGAGTATTTTAGGCTTAAATGTTGCTGTCATATGTATTATTGTCGAAAGGTCACTATGGAAAGAGAAAAGCTTTCTAATTTACATCGGCAAATAAGGATTCAAAAGAGTATGTTCTGTTCATTTTGTCTGCGATTTTATCAATTTTGTGATGAGTGTTATATTATAAACAACAAAATTAATTTAAGCTTTAGAATATCGCTAGGAAAAGTTGGTCTTCATTCTGTGTAGACAATTCTAACAAATAAGTCTTTCGCCAAAGTACAGTCAACGGTGGTTACCGAAATATCGAAGTTATATAATCTCGAGATAACGAGAAAAGTTGTGTTAAATTTGATAGGCCACTTTTTTTAAATTAAACAACGCGTCATTAATGTTTTGTATTTTGGAGTTAAAAGTTTTATTTCTACTGCAATTTAGCTTGTCGCTTCTAGTAAGCTCTTAGCTAGTCCGTTTTGATATGGTGTTTCTGTACGTTGCATTTGATTCGATGTTCCGTCAAAATTCCCTTACGAGAATTGTTCTTCCAGAGATGATATTATATACCTGCTATAAATCTGGTAACAGTCTAAGAGGCTTTACAAGGCTTTGTTATTTCCACATGGAAAAATTCATTTTAGATGTGTTGCCAAACAACCATTTACTTCTAATTTATAGTGGGTAGTAGTACGTACAAATTTATATTTATATTGCTTTGGCGAAATGAAAATTAATCATTTTTATTAAACAAACTGTATACAATAAAAATCTAAATTTCATGATCTCGTGTCTATGAGAAATTTTTTATTTTAACTAATTTCAGTGACTTCTAATAATAATTCGATTTGTATATCACTTAAAATAAAATTTCTCTGTCATATTTTGATATTGAGCTTAATATAACAAATGGTAGCTTATGAGACGGATCGAACTAGCGACCTCTACTTTTCTGGGTCAGTGTTCTAATCACTCACCACAGTTGCTACCGGATTGGCCTAGAAAATCAGAGGTCATTAAAATACAATTTCCTGATATAAGCGGTGTGCTTCGTGGGCAATGATAATGTAGTAAAATATTACACAAATTCCACTTAGTGAAATTTAAGAAAGATGTATAAAAAATGGCTATCGTGTCTCGTTTAATTTTCGTGCTGACCAATAATATCTAGCTAATGTTCATACACACCAATAAATCAATTTTTATATTCTGACCTTGTGAATAATTCATGCTACACTAAACTTGCTACACAAAACAAACTATTTTCAAGTAGATTGTTGCTTTTTCATAAATTGTGATTTACAATGGAATTTTTTCTTCACTAGTGAGCAAAAACCAATATTATTTCGCAGTTATTATTCACTGAATGGCATGGAAATTTGCTTGCTGCTCAATAAACGTAGTAAACTGAACAATTACTACATAAAAGATAAGGTATTTATTGAAGCTGAAATTTTAATAACAATAAAAAATTTAAAACAGGTTGTAACTATTGTGGTAAATGTAAATCCATTCTGATCAGCTTTTAAGCCTGACCTGTAGTCGGATGTATAGAAAATTTTCTTTGGGCACCTCTGATGCACGTTTTGAAGCAAAAACGAAAATAATCTGTTTTTAATTAAAAATGTGTTTTTTATTTTCTATTTTATAATATGTTTACCACAATTTTTTGGTAAATTTCTTTTGATTTCTTTACTAAATTCAATTTTTAAATGAATTCATTAAATTTCTTTATTTTCAAGGAATTATTTCATTCAAAGTAATGTACGCAACTCATATTACACGCTTGTACTGGTAATTCCAGTGCGATTTAACTCACAGCTTGGTGAAAGTTTTCGCTGCCCTCTGGTCTTTAATTTGCATTTAATTTAGGTAAAACAGTACAGTGAATTATTTTTTGGGTGGTCCGATATTTCTGATGGTGTTATCAGCTTTCCAGAATGATGAAACACAATTTGTACTTGACGTTTTCTCATCCTGACGATGATTTTGTTGTTGTTGTTGTTCAGTTATCATTCGTGAAACGACAATATTATCAATTCCAAAATATTCTTCGTTAATTGAGGTTTTGTAACAAATATATTGTTAGTAAACAGTTGTTTTTTTTTTTTTTTTCATAAAAATTGCTTTCACAGAAAATATTTATGAAAAAATATATTCCAAACATCCAATTTTGATATTAGAGGCTGAAACATTCACACACAGGGCTTTATGTTTTGTTACATTTTAACTTTTTTCAACTTCAAACTTTTTGTATGTACCTATAGAGAACGAATCCTAATACGCTTGCAATTTTTATGATAATAGCGATTTCTGCATGTTTTTATATTTAATAATCAGAATTATTCATTTTAAATTCGCTAAAATAGTGATTGTATATTTTGGTACGCAGTATTTAAATTATTTCCATAATTAAAATAATATTTTTTTCTTAGGGAAACGCCGTTCACCCAGCTGTAGCCAGAATTTGTTTTTATAAAGTCTGAATCCAGCTACCAGTATCCCAATTTCAACGTTCTTTTTACATGAATTTAAAGTATAATTTTAATGTAGAATAACACCTTCTCCTTCAGATTCATTTTTCCTTTTATGTAAAAAAAATATTTTTGAATAAAAACATAAATAATACATACTTAATATTTTCATAAATCCTAAACTC